TTAAGAAGTTAAACTTTGTTGAATAAATGTTCATACAGCGAAACATAGCATACGATCCCGAACAACCAAACGATCCGAGTATACGCAAAACTAGCAGCGTAATCTAACGCACACCCGAAGACGTGCTCGCGCTAAACGTGAGGCAATAACAAGACATACCCAGAGGTAAATATAGCGTTGAGATCGCAAACTAAACTCTGGAGAAAACAGAACCGTGCAAGCTAAAAACAATCAAGAAACACGCAATCTCGCAGCATTTCCAGCGGCAACCTGCCGAGCCAACGCTAGCGCCGCCCTAGGCGGCGCTAGCGTCGAAACGGAAGCGTGTGAGAATTGTGGAGAGGAGGAAAGGGTGAGGATTTCGCGAGGGAAAAGAAGCTTGGCGGTACCTCCTCAGTATAGAGTGACATTAGTCGAAACCACCCCCCTCATAGCCGAAACTTTCACGACCTATAGCGGGCGCCATTGTTGGTGGTAACGCGTTACATATAACGGCGTTACCGCTAACGCGTCACTTCTTCCGGTAACGCAGTAACGTACTCGTTACATTCTTAAAACAGTAATTGGTAACGTAGTTACGTTACTCGTTACTTCTTCCCAAAACTTCGAAAAATTACACTTCAATTTTTTTGTTCTGCTTTTGTCGCCAATTTACGTGAATCTTTTTGTGTTTTCTTTGCGTTTTTTTTTGTGACTGTTTAGGTGAAACCCTAAGAAAGATAAAATAATTATGTTCAGGTTTTTCAGGAACATAATGTTACTTAAATTATTGCGCTTAGTCATATGTGCACCGACAAAAGCGTAAAACGTTAATAGACCGATCTCACTAAGCGTTCGGCGCATGCGTGACGCCGTCATAACTTTAGTGCACAGGAGGCAGACGGCCGGGGTGGTTCTCATTTGAACCCGTTCGCATTTCTACCTTCTCGTTTTTAGCTTCTCATTTCAACCCAGCGCAAAACAACTTTCGCGTTTCTCCCTATCTCATTTAAACCGTTCTCAAAACAAACTTTCGGGTTTTGACCCTTCTCAAAACGACTTTTCTCATTTTAACCTTTCTCATTTCAAATTTTCTCAAAACATACTTTCTGGTTTTGACCATTGTCAGAAAGACTGTTCTGATTTTAACCTCTCTCATTTCGAACCCAAATTAATCCAACATCATGATCTCGCCATCTTTCTGCGGTATTTATGGCGAATTCGGGTAATTAATTGCCTTCGAGCCCTTGCCTGTGGCACCGGTGACCAAAAACGCGCCAGCGGCGCATCACGTGACCCTCTCCACCCGAATGCAAAGCACAATGAACTGGCGTTTTTATTTGACTGGGTGGCGAGTGAGCTCTGTTAACTTCTTCTTCGATCATTCTATGGTACCATGAGCACGCTGCATACGCCAACAACATAAATTACGACTCTTTGAGATGTGTGTAAACAGAAGCGGCTCCACAAAACTTTTCAAAATATTGGCATTACCACAGTCCGTACAGCTGACAGAATATTAAATATAAAATCAATGAAAGGGCAGATGTATAAATCAGTGTGGTGCTGCCCGCACGCGCGTCAAATTTTATTAAACTTCGTTTGGATTTTCGATTAACTGTTGCCACGGAGGCTTGCCAGCGTCGCTTTCCATATTCTGTTTAATGTTAGTAGAGAGATTTAGTAGATCGTTCCCAAGACTCCGATAACGATACCCGATACTCCGCCACCGCCTCCCTTGCGCATGCATAGCATCGTTATTGGGGCTATCGGGGGTATCGCAACGATCTACTAAAACTCTCTAGTACCTTTTTTGGAATCCTCAGTCTTCTCATTGCACCCACCCTCCTTGAAATTGTAATGCGTGTTCAAGTTTCAAACTGCATCACTACGCATACTTTTTTTTTCAGCGGTGTAACAACTTGCTATTACAGAGTTGTAAAATAAAGTGATATATGATGCAACCCGTGTCTCAGGGCAAACATACCTTGCTCAGGCTGGATAAATTCTTCCAAAAATGTTTACTTTCTTTGAAACATAACTTATCTTTCTCTTCGTTGTTTTTGCTATCTTGTCTCAGAGCACAAAAGGGTGCCTGTCTCGATGGCTTCGTTTGGCACTCAAACCCGCTATTTGCCGCCTCAGCGAGCAATATTTCGTTTGGTTCCCTATCCCGATTCGGATGTGACGATACCGGATACAGTCTGGCAGACAAGCTGCCCGACCTCTTGGAGCTCGGGAAAACTTCTGCTGGTGAATTGCCGGTACACGCCTGAGAAGCGCAACCCGAAAAGCTTGCACCCACCAGCCTTTGACCACGCGAACGCCCTTGCCGAATATATGGGAAAACTTTTTTTCAGGGAAAATGACCACCCGAATTGGCCTTTACAAGCAATAACACACGACTAGCACAAGGATCCATCCGCTCCACACGACGTCTTAACAACATACAGCGGAAGAAGAGAGATGAAGTACCGAATCTGCGCTAGCACTTTTGAAACCACGTCACCATGTGACCACGCAGCTACGTCAACAGACTCGGGGTGGCACGCAGGCATAGGGAAAATTGTTTCATGTGCTATGCAAGAGATGGTGCCCCTTCGCTTCATCTTCAACCTTCATCCTTCAACTGTTTTTCCTTTTTTCTATACCTCACTACGGTGTTCAAATGACAACGGGTTCAAATGAGAAAGGGTCGAAACGCGAAAGGTTAAAACGCGAAGGGCGTTTTGCGAATGGGTTCAGACGAGAGGGGTTCAAATGAGAATGGGTTCAAATGAGACGGGTATAAATAAGAAAGGGTCGAAACGCGAAAGGTTAAAACGAGAAGGGCGTTTTGCGAATGGCTTAAAACGAGAAGGGTTCAAATAAGAATGGGTTGTTTCGAGATACACCCGCGGTGGCGTATTCGAACTGGCTGGTGAGATCGGTCCATTCATAATTGAAAAAAGTAACGTAAATGTACCGTGCGTTAATTTTATCGGTAACGTTAACGCGTTCCATTCATTTTGAGGTAACGTAGATCGTTAAAGGGTTACTTTTCTTTCCGAATAACGAGTCACGTATTTCGTTACTTGTTTTCGGTAACTCCTACAACGCTGAGGGGAAGCACTGAAATGAGCGGGGAAGGGGGGGGGGGGGGGGTAGAAGATCGGTGATTGAGTGGGCTAGCGCACACAAGGCCAGATCACGTGGAGCCGAAGCTCGCGCTGCAGCACCCAGAGATCCAGGGTTCAATCATCCCCACCCCTGCCTGTTTCGATCTGGATGAGCATTGTACCGGCGTGCTTTCGTATATCACTACTGCGTGGTGCACGTTAAAAACCCCAGGCTAGAAGCGGTTGTACCGCACTGGCTAAATTGCTCATCTACAGCGAGTGACTCGTCGCAACTTTGAAACGGCTGACCAACTACACGTGGTATAAATATCCACACAACCCCAATTATTTTTATTTATTAAACGGCCTAGAGCCACAACATTAGCTGCGCTTAAAGTATCAGCCAGTCCGTTCCCGGACATTGTTGTGGGCGCTGCCATTTTGGTGCTTGTGCAGAGCAGAAGCAACTGCCGATCGTCATGATTAAGAAGTGCGACTTTATCAGCATTCGATTCGGTGTCAGAAAGCTCATGTGATATTGCTTTCCTTCGTTGCGAACTGTTTAAACATTTGTGGAGGATAGAAAAGCGTTTTCTAATATTTCAGATAAAGCTTCATGAAGCTTTCATAAAGCTTGGCAACCATGATTCTAAGACACAATATGGCCAAGCGTCCTTACTCTGAAGCGTAGCTTATTTAGTGTCACTAAAGCGGCCCTTGGAAGCGAATAGTGGCGTAGCACCCGCTCGTGGCACGTGTCTTACGCGCTTCCACGACAAGGTTGGCAGTACTTGAAAGCATGAACTTTATCAAGTGACTTTACATCAAAAGTGCTGTCATCTAGATGATCGAAGCAGAACAGCACTACCAGGCTGATAGTGCTGTTCTGTACTGTTCTGTACGCGTAAGGAAATCTAGTTTTTCCATGTACGAGCTGTATGTCTCACAACCTTACTTTATTTTTTCATGTCAGCAAGGTGTTGGCAATCACGTTTATCGTGAAGCACATCATCCAGGAGCTAGGGCTTGCGATTCTCACATCGCGGTACCGCCATCACAGAAGGTTCCAGTGTTCCAATCTAAATAAAATCGCCTCCGTGCGACATACATACACTATTAAAAAGGTACGCCAGTCCACTTCCCTGCAGAACGCGCAGGCAGCCAATCACGGCGAACAATAGACGAGTATCCCATCCACTTACGAAGCTCAGAATACGTTTAGGGGCTAAAAAAAATGCGACATTCGCAGGAGCAATGAACATGAGGTTTAACTTGCATATTGTCCCTGCGCAATGGCAATTTTCGAACCTCGCAGTATTCTTAGCATTGTCATTCGCTTAGAACTTTCCATATTTTTACGCCGTGGTTGGCCGTCTTCGTGTCGTGCAGAAAACCGTGATCACCGATTAGATTGTTCAGGGTGTGGGATGATGTGCTCAGCGCATCACCTGAGCGATTGTGCTCCAGTACCACTAGAGCGACAAAAACCAACAACCGACAGCGACAAGTTTCAAGCTCGTATAGCATGCTCGCAAAGGTACTTTTGGCAGGCTTGCAATCACTCGTGCTTGCTTTATGAGCACCGAGAGGTTGCAAGCCTACCAAAGGTACCTTCGCTTGCATGCTGCACGTGTTTGAGGCTTGTCGGTGTCAACTGTTTCTGTTTGTCGGACTATTGGGACTCGAATACTAATAACTGTCAAGTATTCCTTTTTGTATCACTATTTTCTGGCGTAACGCCCCTCCAATTATGTCCATCGGGCCATGAAGGTACTCGAATAAATAAGTAAACTTCCAGTTTACCAGACATTCATATAACAAAAGGTCACCTGGGACCTGTTGGCGCGGTACTTTTATCTTTAGACATGTTTGCGTATATCTCCTGCCCGTTTCGAGGTAGCGTAAAAAGAAGGGAGGACTCACCCATCTGCGCTGCTGTCAACCGAACACGGGTTAAAGCTTCCTACTGCGAGCAGCGGCGCAGCGCTTCAACGCGACACGACAAACCGGTCATTCAATGAGACACTCGGGACCTGATTCTAGAAGTGATACGTCCGCAGACCGGCCAGATACGACACATCCGACAGACGTGCAATCCTGGAGTGATGGCCTTGGAGTAAGGAAATCAGAGGCGCGTATTGCAGCTCCGGGAGAAAATTGCAACGTCCTTGAGACGAGGAACGATGCGGGTAAACACCCCAGGGTGTATTAAAACGTGCCCAGCTCGTAAGGGTCAAGCAAGCCGGGGCAGTGGAGAGTAGCCGCCATTGAGAAATACGGCGGGTGTTCGTCCCATAATTTAATGTCTGCGGTTTGTAGGTCTTAAAGAGCCACTGACACGCCCCCCCCCCCCCCCCCCCAAATTTTTTTTTCGTGCTAAGCGTTGAAATGGCATATCAGGATATTACACCAAAATTGTTTCACTATAGAGTTCCGGAGTTTTTTTTATAAAAAATAGAAGTACGGAGGCCCAATCCAAAGTTCCCGCCAGTGCACTGTGACGTAACAGTGTACCTCAAGGGGTCGGGGTGGTCAGAAGGGAGGCATCGACCTACGTCACTAAAAGTGGGTTCGCCGGGAGTCACGTGAGTTTCACTCGTCGTGCTCTCCGCGACCGTGCCTAAAACTTCATTTTATTTTATTTTTTTAAATTTTTATTCTGCTCTTTATACGAGCGATCGTAGAAAACGAAGTTTCAGTTCCACTAGCTCTTTATCGCTGCACCGTTGGTTAGTTTGCGTGCTGTAAATGTTGAGGACGAAGAGTCAGTGCATCGACGTGATGGAGGTCAATGATGAAAGCGTTGCGAGTACAAGCCAGTGTACGAGTGCATGTCATCAGTCCGATGATACAGAGCTATACTGGGCACAAAACAAACTATCAAGTTTTGAAAACTTGACTTAAGTTTTCAAAACTTGAGGACATGGTACATAAAGTACTACTTCAAGTAGAATCAGAATACTTGTACAGTACTTGAAGTACATTCTCTGAGAATTTACTTGCACTTTCCTGAAGTATTTTTTTCCGGTAATCTCTGAAGAAAGTAAAATTCACGACTTTAAAGTCCATTCCCCAAATTCGGAAATAAAAAATGGCGTATCCTTATGTGAAAACGCGCTGTCGTCTTTCGAGACGTCATCTGGTCATTTCTCTGAGTGAAGAAATGGCGGCTACAAAACCGATAAGAATAGATTGTCTTATCGGTGTATTTTGTTAAATAGTTCGTGAGCGAGAGTAAACGAACTACTTTGTGAGGACTTGACTTTATACAAGATTTGCCGCCATTTCCGAAAAAAAAAACTGATGCTCTCCTGATTATTCCTGAAGCAATACATAGCAGATGAAATAAGTAAAAACAAATACGGTATGAAAGGGCATCATGAAAGATTGTGTTAAAGAGTATTTGTACTTTACTTTGAAAGACCAAGTATGTTGTATGTATGGTACTTTATTTCAAGTACATTGCACCCGGTGTACTTAAGATACTTGAAGAACATAAACTCTAATTCACTTTGTACTTCACTTCAAGTACTTCTAGATGTACTTTACGCTACGCTCTTAACAAGCAAACACTGTCCGCCAAATCAAGCTCATGCATTGCTAAACCTCAAAGTAGAAATGCGCAGGTAACAATGAATTATACTGAAGCGGAACTAGCTATTAAAGCATTTATGTGAAAACACAAGCCGCTTTATATTTGTCTACCAGAATTTCGTTAACGAATCAAAACATGTATGTTTTTTCTTGTTAGTAAAAGGAATCTAAAAGTAACTTTAAAAGTAACTCGCTAGTTTGTGACAGTAGTTAGTAATTTACTCAATTACTTTCCATTTGAGTAATTTCTACTTTACTCAGATTACTTGTGAGGCCAATACTCAGTAACCTAAATTAGTTACTTTTTTTTAGTAACTTGTACGTGTCTGCCAGAAATTACCGGACCAAACCTATCATCTCTGTGCCTCTATGACCAGCTCCCACAACCAGTTCTATTATTTGGAGGTTTTAACGCTCATAACACTATGTGTGATTGAACGAGTAATTTCTTCTACGGATTTATGCTCGCTCAACAACAAATCAGACGCTAGATATTTCAGCACTCAAACACACTCATTCACCTTCATTGAACGCTCGTTTGGTGACCCAACATTGTTTCCCATCTTCTTATTGCAAGTCAATCGTAATCAATATGAAAGGGACAATTTTCTTTTAATTTTAAGTCGCATTCGTCGCCCTGTCGCACTTCGAACACGAACTCCCTGCTGGAAGTTTGACGCAGCAAACTGACCATATTTGAAGGAAGCATCTCTGTTAGCCTATACATTTCTTCATCAGCTCTCCATTGATTGCGTAACTGAACTTATCACCATGCATATTTCAAAAGTTTCAATCAGTGCCATACCTATGACATCAACACATCCCAAAGCAACCAAAACCACGGTGGAATAAGTACTGTCGCATTGCAGATAAAGGAACAAAACGTGGGGAATTTTCCGGCGATACCCTGCGCAAGCTTATCACATCACCTTTAAGATAATGAAATCTCACACCCGGTCTATTTGCAGGTAGTCTAAACGAGGTTTCTTCAAATGATACACATCTTTCATAAACAGTTGTGCATCGTGCAAGGCGGTTCTGGGACCGTGTGCATAAGGTCAAGGGCTGCTACCTTGCATACTCTACCCCCTTTTTGACTGTATCCCGAGAGACTGCCCACCTAACATCAAGAGCCAATCGGCTGAAATTATGGACTGGGCTAACTTTCGTTGCACAATCAAGAAAAGTGCGTCTTAAGAAATTGCTATTTATAGGTCGTGTTCCTTCCAATCTTGTTATGGTGGTGAGGGGCAATGAAGCAAATAGGGGGGGATATAAGCGAACCTTCCAGTCAGGAAGGTTCGCTTATACCCCCCAATAGTGAAGTAGCCGCATTTACGCCGAGGCCATCTTTGATCCCAAGAGTACGATTACTAGAAGTGGGCTATACTTCGGTGTTTAAAAAACAGCAAATCAAGCCAAAAATAGTGGTGGCTATCTTTTCGGGGTGGGGCATTTCTCGGGATTTTACTGCAGACACGGAATCTGTCATGAAAGTATTGAGCGAAAATCTAACCTAGCAGGAGTAGGAGAGTATTTTGAGTGTCTCAAAGCACTGATCATTATATATCATCGTTCATTCAATATAAACTTCATGCCGATAAAAACAAAAACTTCTAAGTACCTCAGGCGGCAATCAAGGTCCGTATAATGCACCATTTACATTACATGAGCTTGAGGCACTATTGCACTGTTCCAGGCATACGGCGCCTGGCCTTGATGTCACCCACTATGCAATGTCTGCCATTTACATACCTCGGCGTTCGAAATCATTTTGTGTTTGTTCAATTGAGTTTGGTAGAAAAGTCAGTTTCCGTCGTCTTGGAACGTAGTTATCGTCTTACAGTTGCTCAAGCAAAAACAAAGATTCTTTGTGTGCTTCCAGTTATAGACCGATACCACTAACCACTTGTTTCTGGAAAACTCTGGAGAAGATGATCTGCCAAAAAAACAACTGTTAGACAAGTATCAGTGCGGTTTCCGCTCAGCTCGATCCGAACTTCATAACCTAGCTCAATTTGAGTCTAATGTGCGGGGTAATTTGTAAATAGACAACACTGTTTTCCTGTTGTTGTTGTTTCTTTTAGTTTGAAGAGGCGTATGATATAGTTTGGCATTTTGAAATATTAGAGAATTTGTAAAAACCTCGGTGTTCGACGTCAAATTCTATGTACTATTCAGAGTTACTTTCAACGCCGTATTCTCGTAATGTTAGGAACCACCATTTCCAGGGATTTATTGCAAAAAAATGAAGTTCCTCAGGGAGGTGTTCTTAGCGTACACCTTCTCATTGTAACTATATATAAATTCAATTGCCCGTTCGATACCTCCCCCCTAATAATATTCTGTATACGTAGATGACATTCAAATTCTTGTTTTGTCTTGTAATCCATCGATATGTGAAAGTCGGGTCCAGCTTTCAGTCAACAATTAACACAAACTGGCTGACACAAATGGTTTGTATTTTCTTTGAAAAAATAAGCCGCGAGTGTTCCTCTCGCCCGTATAGTGTTTTTCAAGGACCTTCCTTAAATATGTGTTAAATACCAATTGCCGCAAAAAGTGAACACAAGTATTTGGGTCTGATATTCGATTCAAAATCGAATTTTCATTCACATATTAGGCACCCAAAACTAAAATGTTTTAAATCACTGAATATACTTTAGCTTTTATTACAAGTATCAAGGGTTTCAGACATATTTTGTCCACTACGCACCTACCGTGCAGTTCGTTCACTTCTTGACTTTGGTAGCATTGTGTATTGCTCTGCCCGTGCATCAGTCATAAATATGTTGGATCTCATACTCCACCACGGACAGCTATTCTCTGCTGTTGCCGTTAGCACCTCTCTGGTACTACAGGTTAATTAGCCACCCCTTGAAAGTACGAGACTTACGCTGGGGTTTATGCATTTTGTCAGAGTTCGCTCCGTTCATAAGCAACCTACTCGGGATAACCTTGAAAGCGGAACATTCCAAAATAAAACATCAGTTTTTCTTTATTTTGAATTGTGGAATCAGTGTTCAGATGGTTTGTAAGGTTATATTCAAAGCTTCCAGTAGTTCAATGCTTAGCGGCTATAGTTCTGTGGGATTGCCATCTTAAAAAACTAAAACGCAATCCATTCAATATAAGCCTTCAATCTAAGTACAAATCGTATAATGTGTGTTTAAAGAGATTAGTTAACGTAGCTAAACAGTAGTATTTTTAGTAAACTTTATAGTGCCAGTAAGGATCCCAAAGAAACCTAGCAAATAATTAACTCTGCACTAAATATGAGCACTACTGAACAAACTGTATCAGCCTTAAGCACCGATCAAGGCATAATTACGACAAACAAGAAATTTCTCACACGCTCAACGACTACTTTACAAATATCATTACAAACATACAATATTTTTCATGCA